CCCGGGTGCGGGATGGCCACGGCGAGCCGAGGATGGAGACGGCAGCTCTGGGTTCCCACCATGCCTCGGCGTGTCCGTACACCCATACGTCGCCAAGCAGCTCTGGCATTTCAGCGTCCCCACAGCAGGGACATCAGCCAATGGCTCGGCCAGGCACAGAGGAGCAGGGGCTGAGCAGAGGCTCCTTTGCCAGGAGGAGGGGAAGGAAACGCTTGTGGTTGTTAAATCGTGGTCCTCAACCCATCACCTGCGTTGGGAGCAAGGTCCTGAGATACCTGCTAAGGCTGCAGAGGGACTAACTCAGCCTCACTGCGGGAGGGACATTGCCACAAGCTCATGGGTCCTGGTTTGCCGATCCCACATAGTAATCCCAGTGTGGGACACCCCACCAGGACCCCCCTCCCAGCCTTGGGAGGTGGGTGCTGGGCAGCCTCCGCCTCCTCGACCCAGGCCCCTCTGCAGGGCTGCTCTCCTGCCCGCAGACTGCCTGCACCCCAGCGCTTCGCATGGGCTTCAAAACACAAGCTGGGGCTTCCTGGGGGGGCAAAACACTGCCCGCTTGGTGCAAGTGCTGGGGATTGCCTGGCTTCTCCAGGAAAGAAGGAGAAGTTGCCTCTCCCTGTCCTGTCCCTCGGACAGATAGAGCTGCAGGTGTCTCCCAACCCCCCAAAGCCCCCCAAATAACAGAGACTGAGGGCTGAGGGACAGACCTCAACCCCACCGGGGGTCAGACCGCACTGCCATCGGCACTTGTCCCCTCGTCCTCATCCCAGCGCCCTCGTGGATGCTGGCAGAGGACATTTCACCTTAGTTAATTAAAGCCAAGCAATTAACGCTGAGGGCTGTTTACGCTGTTTACTCAGCCGCATGGGACTGGGGGTGTCCGTGCCCTCTGCCGGGCTCTCCCCGTGCCATCAGTCACACCCATCTCTCCGGAGATGTACAAAAGCATCTTTCAGACCCAAACACCCACCAGCCCCAGCCGATTTACACTCCCAGGCAGTCCCGTGCCCTCTGCCTCCTCCCGGCGGCTGGGGAATCCCGTGCTCCCCAGCCCACCCCTGCCCCACGCTGATTTTCCATGTTATGGTTCCAACAGGGATCCTCCGAGTCCAAACCCATGTACCAACGTCCACCAAGCCCGAGCAGCCCTGGCTAGGGGGAAACACGCCGCGACTGAGACGGGATCTCGTTTTCAGGGCACAGCCCCGACAAACTCCATCCCACCCGGCTCTGCCTGCGGCGACGGCTCATCCCACAGCTGCATCCAGCAGAGCTTCACCTTGCTCATCGAGCTGTTTCAGCTCAGCTGGTTGCAGGGACCAAGCGGGCGCCGGAGCGGGATGCCACCGGAGCAGGGCTGGCTCCAGCCCCCAGGCAGCAAACCTGCGGCAAGAGCTGTGCCGCGCCGGTACAGATCCCCGCTTCCCCCGGCAGCAACCGAGCCCCAAACATCATCACCATATAAACCCCCGAGCGCAGAGGTGAGTGCATCCAGGTGCTGAAAGGACCTGGCCACGCATCTGCCTCTCCCGAGTGTGGAAAAAAAAGGGACACCCCCACCCCCCTTTGTTTTTTTTTAAAATGCCGAACATAACCAGAGGCTGAGAGGCACCACACATCCTCAACCCCAACCTCTTCTCTTTGAACAGGGCCCCAAACCATTTCATTTCCCTTTTCCCTCCTCTTCCAAACAAACAAACAAAAAAACCAACCCAACCCCAAACAAAACCCCCAAACCCAAAACACATGTTCCATTTTCCATATAATAAAACCGCGACACTCTTAATAACTCCCCTATTTGACGATTTGTCTGGCAACATATGGAAAGCTCTCGTAAACTCGCCCCTTCATAATACAACGGCAGATGGCAAACACAATCCTCAACACGCCGCTCTCGGCGGCTCTAATGGGCTCGGAGGGCTCCTCGCCCCACGCCGCATCCCTCCGGCTCCGCACCTCTCCTTCCCGGAGATTACCCAGGCAGCCTCGACGGCAGCTATTTAAAAACTGAAGCAATTTTCTGGTTTATGCACAGAGCTGCCTTTTCCCTTTTGATTGATTGAGCCGAGTTGTCAAGCATTTCCATGAAGTCGCTAAAAAAGAAAGGTACCCTGGTGGGCACATAAAAACCTGATGCAAAACTTCTAATATGTTTTATTGCAACTTGTACTTCAAAAAGGAAGGGACAACAAAGGCGAACGTATTTGCTTTGTCTGTTACGCAAGTCAGGGAGCTGGGACCCGTTTCCTTGGAAAGCGGGTTACCATTAATAGTCAGGTAATTATGGGGCTTTTAGAAAGGAAGGAGAAAAAAAAATAATAGAGGGGGTGAAAAAAGCCCATCCAGAAGGCTCCAGTGTGGTGCTGCAGGGATGCTGTGCAGGGCTTGCTGCTGTCACCCACCAAGCCATGGGGAGCATCCCGTGACCGTTCTCAGCATCCCACCACCGCCCCGAGCATCCCTACCTTGGCGTAGTCCATCAGCTCGCAGCGCCCGGGGAAGCGCTGGTAAAACTCGGGCAGCCTCCACGGTGCGACGACCTGGCAGGGGGGCAGGAACATGAGACAAGAAGCCCCCGGGCCTCTGGGCCCCTTTTGCCCCCTGGCACCCCTCTGGGTTGCCCACAGGAGAGGGCTTCTGGCAGCCCAGGGGAGCCAGGACCCACGGGATGTTGGTCCCCCAGCCAAAATTTAATCTCCCTGCAACATCGATTATCCAGCAGCTGCCTTGGTACCGTTTCCTCCGTGGCCCCGTGGTGTTTGGGGTAAAAATAGGTCAATTAAGGATCATTACAGCCCCCTCAAATGCCAAAACGCCGCTTGGTGCAGCTGGCAGCTTGTTAACGTGAGGCACAGCCGCTCGCATCAGTGCTAAAGCGAAACTCCCCACCGGCGAGAGAGGGAGCCAGGAGCCCGGTGGTGGGGACTCAGGGGACAATTTTGGGTGCCTTACCTTGATATTAGGGCACAGGGCGTAGCAGGTGAGCTCGAACCGAACCTGGTCGTTGCCCTGAAACACAAACAGGAGACGCTGAGGGCTCACCCCGTGCCGGGGCGGGCGAGGATGTGTTGTTTCCCTGCTGGCGGCTGCTGTCCCCGTGCAGGGGTGGGATTGAGATCCCCCAGCTGGGAGCCGGCGGGGACACGTCTCGGGGTCTCAGCTCTGACCAATACAGGGGACAAGCCGCTTTGTGGGAAAAGCCTCCCGGCCCCTGGCTCCGGGGAGCCTCGGCTGAGCGGGGTGTTTGCGAATCCCTGCGAGAGCCACCAGCCAGGAGGGACGTCCGGCTGATGCTATCAGGGACTTCATAGACCCAGGCGCTCTGGGCAAGAGGGGGGTACCACCTATTCTCCCGGTAACAACATTGGGATGGGATTGCTGGCTATTTTCATGGGAAAAGTAAGGCCTGAGGCTAAGGACACGTTTATCTCCTCCATTCCCCCAGCATGGGGGGTGGTGGGAGGGGGTAATGGACCTGAGCCGGGTCTGTTCCATGGGGTCATTCCTGGTTCCTCTCCATGGCTGTTTTGAACCTAAACCCACCTTTCCTGGTGCTCCTGATAGAATTAGGCACCGAGTGATCAAACCCCCGATGCAGCTCATTCACCTGGCTCTGAAGGAGCCCGGCTGACCCTGGAGTCACCCAAGAGCCATGCTCTCCCCTGGGTTGACCCTCCCAAAAACTGAACAAGCAGAAACCCAGGTTTGGGTATTTTTTTCCTCCACAGGCATCAGAGGGCACATGGAGAGAAAGGGAGAGGGGGGAGGAAGACCACAGTGTCCAGGAGGATGCAGCAGCTCATAATTAAATAGCTCTGAATCTCCCTTTATCTTAATTGGCCTGTGCTGATGAGGTCCTTCTAATGAGGCCAGGTAGTCAGGAAGGGGTGAGGAGGGAGCCTGGGAGTTATTAGCACTTCCAGGGGAATAGCACTCACCAAAGCCCATTTTCCACCAGCACCAAGGGGTGTAAGCCCCCCCCCCCAGCCCCCCTCGGCGCTGGCCTGAAGGATACATTTACAGCCAGGCTGGGAAATCCCCGAGGACTATTACACGCAGGCGAGAACATCCACCAAAGCACTCATTTCCCTTACAGCCCCAAAACAAGTCCATCTGCTTCGGCAGCGGGGACGCTGCAGATGGTCCGCATTTAAGATGCTGCACCCAGGGACGGGATGCAGCCGGGTCGAGTTACCCACGGTCGGTCCCTGCCTGTGCCCGTGGCTTAGTGGGGCTCGGGCAGCGGCACAGCGTGGGGAGCCGCCCGGGGTGCCCCTGCGAGCGGGGTGCTGGTGGTACCCGGGAGCGCAGGGGACATCATGGCGTCGGGGGTGTGTTACTCCATGGCACCCTTGAACGGGGGCTTTCAAGAGCGGGCTGCTGGGGAGGGGGGAGATGGGCAGGGAAGGGGAACCCATCGCAGCAGGACCAAGAGTTATTTCCACCCTGAAGCCTTCCAGCCCCACAGCTGCTCCTTTGCCCCATCTCCCCGCTGCCAGCATGCCCTTGGCCATCCCTTAGCTACATCCAACATCCCCCTTCTGGCAGTGTCCTCTGCCATATGTAGGGACCCCCAAACCCAGCCCCTTGCACTAAGACCCCTCCAGGTGGGCACCTCACCTTTGCCCCCAGGGTCTACGCTTTGGGTCCCTGCAAGACGGGGAGGAGAGGACATCCAGCAGGTCCTGAGTGCACGCACAGCACCCAAGGGTCCCACAGAGACCTCTGGTGACAGTGTCACCCCGCCCCGGGTGTCCCCGCCCCGAGCTGGGCAGCGTGCGGGCAGGGGCTGGAAGCGCCAGGGGGTGGCCCACGGTCACATCACACAGGTCCCCAGGGTCCCCGTGGAGGATATTCGCCCTGCGGGCAGGGGTTGGCCCCGAGCATCCTTTCCACGGTCTCTGGCTGCCTCTAGCGGCAAAGTGTCCTCCCTGCGGCCGGCGGCGACAGCCGGGGATGGGGACGGGGATGGGGATGGGGACAGGGACGGGGACAGTCGCACCCTCGCCGGGACACCGCGGGCGGCGCTGGCTCAGCCCCAGCCGGGGCCTGGCCCGGGCAGACCCCGCCTGTAGCGGTTTTTAGAAAGGAGGGACCCGAAACAGGGCACAGAAATCCCAGAAGCGAGAAGGAAATGCCGAAATACTACCCCGCAGAGCACCCACAAAACACCCTGTGCACCCCCCGCCCCTCCCCGGCACCCACCGCTCGGCCAACAGACTGACCCAACACCCCCCCACGCGCCAACATCACCCTGGTGTCCCCGTCCTCCCTCACCTTGCCGGTGGCCCCATGGGCGACGTACTGGGCTCCCTCCCTCTGGGCGATCTCCACCAGCTTGCGGGCGATGCAGGGCCGTGCCAGCGCCGTGCCCAGCAGGTACCGGTCCTCATAGAGAGCGTTGGCCTGCACCGCCGGCCAGATGAACTCCTCCACAAACTCCCTGCTGACATCCTCGATGTAAACCTGCCAGGAGGTAGAGAGGGAACCCCGTGATGGGAGGGCGGCTGGAGGGCATCCCACTCCTCTGGGGCTTTAGGGGCGGTGTGGCAAAGGGTCCCTTCACCTCCCCCTTTCCCAGGTGCTGCTGAAAGGCTTTGGTGCAAAACCTCTGGAAAAAGGATTCTGCACTGGCACTGTCCCATCCGACCCTGTGGTGGCCCCGGCTGTGGGGTGAGCGAGACCCCAGGACTCAGCCCCATGGTGGGGAGCGGGGGGAGCTCAGAGTCCCCTGGGCACCGTGAGGAAGGGACACTATTACCTTCTTGGCCCCCAGAGCCAAAGCTTTCTTTCGTGCTGCCTCAAAATCTTCCTTCTGCCCGATGTTGGCCTGGAAGGGGACAAAAAACAAGACTGAGTTTGAGAGGAGACCACACAACCCAGCACAAGGCCAGTCCAGCACGGGGCATCGTGCAAGGCATGGCAGACCCCATACTGGGCGGGCTTGAGGTCACCCAGGATGGACAGGAGAAGTGTTTCCCCCCGAGACGGACCACTTTGGGGCCGTAGCTCCCTCTTCCAAGCCCCGTGGCTCTGCCCCGATGCCCTGCCCTCATTAGCAGAGGGTCGTTAGCTGGCAGGGACAGGCTGTGTCACACAGGGTTGGCAGCTCAGCAGAGCAGCACCCGGGCTGGGCGATGGTTAACCAGCGAGAGCGGGGTCACCACCACGGCCACACACACGCCAGAACCCCCCCATCGCCCACCCCACGTCCCCACACCCGTGGCCCTGGGCCCCCTCCACCCCAGGGATGGGGCGCACGTGGGGCTCACCAGGTAGGCGATGACATCGTAGCCCTGCTCCTTCAGCCACACCAGGATGCAGGAGGTGTCGAGACCCCCGCTGTAGGCGAGGACCACCGTGCCCTTGGGCTGAGCCATGGCCCTGGCAAAGCAAAGGAAAAGGGATTCACAATGGGCCCAACCCTTACCCCAAACATCAGCCTGCTCCTGCTCGGCACAGGGATGCTGCAGCCACCAGCCATGACGCTCTCCACGGTGTCCCTGAATTGGCCACGGGGCCATCAGGGTCCAGCCGGGTGCTGAGGGCAGCCAGGGGTGAGGGCTTTCCTGGGGATGGGATATTCTGGGCAAAACAAACCATCCAGGGGATGAACAACTAGGAAGCGCGAACCGAAGCCCGTGGCGAACTAAACACTCGGGGCTGGCAGCCGCTTGGGGAGGTGGAGGAGCCGCCGGGGCTGGGACGAG